TTATTTATTTTGTCACATTGGTTTTGAAGGGCAAGAAACTTATATTGCGTTATAAATATTAGATGTGTTTTTGTCCCAACAGAAAGACTCTTGTAAAAGTAAAATGTTTTGACCAGATCAGACCAAAACATGCCGTCTTTTTCTCATTCAAAGTCATATTTTAATGAATAGCTGGGGGTTTGACACTGGGCTGTGATTGGCCGGGTGAGGGTGGTCCTCTCCATTTCACTTCTCTGTTTGAAAGAGCTGATTAAAAGATGTGACAGAACCCAACAATGTGTGAAAACTAGTGATAAAAGCAAAGTGTTTAAAGAGCGAGAAACAAGTTGAATTTGTATAGATTAGTTGTTTGCGGTGGAGAAGTTGGGTAACCACCACAACAACATCCAGCTGCACATGAAAGACTGTTCTGTGTGATTTTAAACAGAGATTGACCTCTCAACAATTGAGGCAAGGCAAGTTTATTTGTATAGCACAATTCATACACTTTCATTCTTTTTTGTGTATTGGACAATTCATTTGAAAAAAACACTACTACTACTACTACTACATATGGGACTAACATGTCACTAATATATTTTGGTGCGAGGCCATGGAGAGACTTGTAACAAGCAGAGCTGTTTTAAAGTCTATTCTCTGAGCCACAGGAAGGCAAGGCAGAGACCTGAGGACTGGACTAATGTGGTCGTACTTCCTGGTTCTAGTCAGGACTAATGTGGTCGTACTTCCTGGTTCTAGTCAGGACTAATGTGGTCGTACTTCCTGGTTCTAGTCAGGACTAATGTGGTCGTACTTCCTGGTTCTAGTCAGGACTAATGTGGTCGTACTTCCTGGTTCTTGTCAGGACTGGAGCTGCTGCATTTTGAATGTACTGCAGCTGTTTTACAGCCTGTTTGGACAGACCTGTGAGCAGGCCATTGCAGTAGTCTAACCTACTGGAGACAAATGCATGGATAAGAATCTCCAGGTCTGCTTTAGACACTATGTTTTTGATCCTGGCAATGTTTTTTAGATGGTAAAAAGCTGCTGATGTTACTGATTTGATGTGGCTATTAAAATGTAAGTCTGAGTCCAGTATTACCCCTAGATTTCTGACCTTGTTTGAAGGTTTTAGGGAGAGAGACTGTAGGTGACAGATGACGCGCTCTCTTTGTTTCTGGGGACCAAAGACAATCATTTCAGTTTTGTCTGCGTTTAGCTGAAGGAAGTTGTTTTGCATCCACTCACTGATCTGTTGGATACAGTGAAGGAGTGAGTCCACTGGTCCATGTTCTCCTGCAGTCAGTGAGACATAGATCTGAGTGTCGTCTGCATAGTTGTGATAGGACACTTTGTTTCTGCGTATTAAGAGAACAACAAAAAAAACCCTACAGGGTTCTCTTTACTGTCCTATGGGAAGAAATAAAAACATATCTATGCGGGCAAAAAAGTATTACTTCAAACCAAAAAAGAAAACTTAATTTAATACTACTACAATTGCCCAGGAGGACATAACCTGCCTCTTATAAGGGTAGATGCTTTGGTAATAATATCTACGGCATGTAACTCAAATCAAATCTCAGTATTGGTCCAAAGCAAAAGTTTAAAATAAATGAGACTTTGTAATTTGACACGATAGGAAAGTTCACACTCCTGCAGCATTGTTACACTCTGTGATTTTGCGTCTCCACACAGAGCATATGAGAAAATATACTCTTATATCAGCATTACTCCCAAACCGGTCTGACCGCTCTGGGTTTTTACTTTCTCTTTGATGTCAGATTCAGCACAGAGCGGTGTGTGAGGGATGCTGGAGTGGATAGGTTTTCACGCCGCATGCAACAGGACACTCCATCTCTCTTTTAACGACAGAACAAAGTTTTTTTAGCTCAAAAAAGTCAGTTTTTGCATACCATTAGCATTCATTCATCATTCCCGTACTCTGCTCTCCCCCTTCATCTCTCCAAACTAATCCCTCTCTACTTCCTGTTTTCCATTTCAATAATTCCTCTCCAGCTTTTTATCTCTGGCTCCTCTTTTAACCGACACCTGTTCTGGCGGCGCAGCGTGAGACCTCAGAGAAACACAGGGCGCACAGAGCATCTGGCGCCGCGGCCGGTCCTTCGCCGTGGCCGCACTCTAATTACTTTGCTAATTCATGTGCATATAATTTGAGCGGATGATCGGTGATATTTATCTGTGCGGCTAAAGAGCATCGCTCACTCTCCACAGCAGATCTTCCCCCGTAATTAACGAACGACTCGCTGCCGGGATTCAAGCGGGGAATTTGAGGATTTAGGAATTGATTAGGATTGACATGAAATTGCAAGATTAGGAGATATACTGTAATTAATGTCAATTCTAGTAGATTCTGGAAGAGTTCTGCAATGTTAATTTCTGCAACATATACAGAATCAGAAAACAATATTTGAGACAGAACAAGCGAAATCAACTATGTTTTAATCTATTTTAGAGTGAATTTTCTCCCTGCCTCCTCCAACCAATTGTTTTTGACATATTTCTTAGATGATAATCAGACATTCAGAGTTTATTAAAGCTGGGGCCCCTAATAATTGCATAAATAGTGTCAGAACGTGCCTAGAAGTAGATAGATAATTATATTATAATACTTTATTGATCCCTGAAGGAAAACTTCAGGTGTCCGGTAGCAGCAAAAATAAATAAAAATACAAAATTGATCATTTTAAATAGCTAACAATAGTAATAATCAGCAACAGTCCTTCAGGTCACAGCAGCAGAGGTGGAGTAGCCTCTGGGTTCAGACCATTTTCTCTGCTCTGGTCCAAAGTAAAATGCGAAATGCTTCATTTGCATTTTTCATAAAGTTAGCATTCCTCCTGTGGATTTTCACTTGATCCACTTGGTTCGGACCATGAATCCTCTCTGCTCTGGTCTGGACCAGTGTAAAACCATGAATCCTCTCTGCTCTGGTCTGGACCAGTGTAAAACCATGAATCCTCTCTGCTCTGGTCTGGACCAGTGTAAAACCATGAACACTGAACTGCAGCAACATAAAATAGCTGTAGTGATTCAAAACGCTGCAGGTAGAGTCTTGACTTGAACCAGGAAGTATGATCTCATCTGTTCAGTTCCCAGGTCTCCGCGCCGGCTTCCTGTGGCTCAGAGAATAGACTTCATATAAATATAATGTAGAGAATGTGAGAGTTCAGGCAGCAGAGAACCGCCTTTCATTGGTCACGAGTCATTTGAAGCTATGACAGTATGCTTTTGAGCAATGTAAAGTATGTTTATGTTTATTTATCATTATCGACATGCTTTCCTAAACAAGTCGATAGCTCAGAGCCTTAACCAAAACGTCAAAAGGCAAAGCTCCGTGGCTAATGACTCACAAACGTGCCCAAAAGTGCATTTTCCTTTGGCATGTATACACTGTGTGTACTGGTGTGTTGGTGGAAGAGCAGCACTTGAGCAGTTACCTTTGAGACGCCCATGGCACATCAGTGATTATGGTAATTTATTTATAGACTTGTCATAAAAAAGATGCTTCCTTAAGGAGACATATTCTCATGCATGAAAATGAGTTTATATTATTGGACCTATTGACTGCTCTCCTTTAGATGTGTTTAACGGGAGTGGGGCTCCTCCTTCTATATTCCTGTTCAAACTGTTTATCTCTGGAAAAGCCCGGACTCACCATTTTGTGTCTCTTGGTTTTCACATTTTAATCAATGCTGCGTTACCTAACTCCCGATATCAAAGTTATTCAGATATCAAAGTTATTTTAAATTGAGTTTTCCGAGTAAGTAAATATTACTTGTTTATTGTTAGTTTATTTAAAGCTGGTCTAAACCACTCAAGGCCTTCTTTGAATTGATCTGTCTCTGCTGAGTAGGCCACACTTTTGATATTTTGAGAAGGTACAGTGTTGGAGATATCAGGTCACTGTGGAGCAGCACGGTTAGCACCTTCGCTTCTCAGCAAGAAGGTTTTGAGTTTGAATCCCAGTAGGACGGGCTATAGATCCAGGACCTAAGCTACAGAACATGGACCAGCGGCTGCAGAGCGTGGACAGGTCCGGTGCAGGACTGAAGCACTCCCAGGTGGAGAAATAAAGGAGAGGGCGAGATATATTTGTTAAGCCCAGCGTTAGAACAAATGTAAGCAGTTTCTGTGGTTGGACTAAACATCAGGAATGAGTCGCTGTAGACTTAAAAGACTGAAAAAGTATTCAACACTTTGAGACTGAAGAAGAATATTATTATTATGAGCAGAAAATAACTGTATTTATGGAGCTAATGTATCATTCTGAATTGTGTGTAGCAGCTGTTTAAGTTTAATGTATACTAAAGGGTAAGCGTCTACTAGCTTTAGCTTCTGCCTATTTTGTGTCTGAAATTGTTTTTGAATTGTCAAAAACGTCTGAAATGAATTGATTAACTGAATCCATTACAGACTGATCCGACCCATGGATCTTATGGATGCAATTAGCAAATTATTTACATATTGTTTACATGCCTCATCTTTCGTTTTAGGTCAGTTAATTTTCTTGATATGATTTCTACTTTCTCCATGCCTTCATTGACACATTATTCACTAAGTCAGCAGTGAAAATGTAGTGAGTTTTACACATGTGACCTTCTGGTTTCCACTGCATACTTGAGCACTTTATCGTTTCTTTTTTTGTGTGTAAATCCTTGTACAACATAATTTTTAAGAGGCACTTGAAGACTTATTAGATGTTTTTTCACTTTGACTTGGCTGTGGCATATCTGTACTCATGCAGATCCCACAAATCTAGTCGCTCTTTGCCTCTAGTGGTGTTAAACGTTACTGCGCTTCTCTTTTGACTTTCTCCTTTACCCTTGAAGCTTGCAGCTGGCTTGTACCTCCGCATCTGCTTCTGTTCTGCACACACACACCCAAACACACACACACACCCTGCGCTCGCCAGATACCGCAGCTGTCATAGTAGTTACATGCCATGCAATTTAGAATACACAGAAAGGGATGTCTCTCAAGCAACTGTGGGCCAGCGGAGCATGACCGGCTGTGAGTGTGTTTGGTTACAGATGAGGAGGCAGCAGACAGGCATGCCCACGCTCGCCTCTGCTCTCCGGGATGTTTACACCTCTCCACCGTGCCCGCTCCCCGCCCGACACCTTCCACTAATTGACCCTGAGCTGGTATGTCAGAGCTGAAGAGGAAGAACATCAAAACCATAAGTCTTAGGCAGGCGAGGGCAGGTGAGGGCCGGTAATGGAAGCAGTTTGAGAGAGGATCACTGACTCTAACATCAGTAAAAGTTGCTGAGATGGAGACCGCTTCTACAGCTAAGAGTTGTTAGGAAAGTGGTTTGAGTTTGGAAGAAGTAACTGTCTCTCAAACAATTGGCTTCAGAATGAACCTATGTGTTCTACTACTACTACTACTATTACTATCAATCAACCTTTCTCTGTAGAGTGCTTTCTGAAGTCCTCCACATAGGGCATTAAACTAAAAAACTAAAAACTAAACTAAAACTAAAACTAATCAAAGACAACCATTAAGATCATACAGAATATTAGAAACTGACACTAAAATCACAAGAGATCAACTTCTACTGCTACGCTAGAGGCTTGAAGACACGACCTTCTTATGATCGTCATAATCTATGGCTCCAGTGGCTTATACTGTTTTAATTGTTTCCCCACTTAGTTGTTTTTGAGTTGTTCCTGCAGAAGGGTCTGAGAAATGTTCTGGGATATTTGAGGAACTTTATCAACATTTCTGAAAACTTGAGGCAGGCTTCTTCTCTGACAATGTTTAAATCCAGGTTAAAACAGTTCTGTTCTGTTTAGCAACTGATGGATTTTATGTTTTTATCTTTCTTTTTAAAGTCCTGTGATTATTTATGACTTAATGCCTTGTGTAGTTGTTCATCACGTTGAGTTGCCTTGTGTGTATGAATGGTGCTATACAAATAAGTGGTCTTCCCGCTCCCTGTATTGTGTGGACCAATGGCTTCTAAATGTTTGTTATTATTTTATTTCCTGTGTTTGATTTTCTGATCTTCTGTTGGTGAATCGAGAACTTTGTAAAGTCCTCAGAGAAAAATAAAGTGAAATGAAAATGCATTGAGGACGTCAAAGACAAGGCCCAGACCATTATCAGCAGCTCCCTGGAATTATTTCAGTTATTACTATGAACTTGCAGCATTGGAGTTAAGATGAGCTACCATGGCATGTTATAAGTCATTATGAAGCACAATTACTAAAGACAAAAACATATAATTTATCCCATTTTCATATTTGAACCTCAGAATCTAAATTGTTTATATATTGGCTAATCCTGTAACCAATCCAAGATCTAAAAATTTACCGGAAATCTTTCTAATCTCCAAACTCAGGTTAAATTAAAGTATTCCTTTGATCGAAATACCTTCAAAATACAAAAACACTCTTATCCTTTTGGTGCCTCAGGGAGCTTTTTTATTATTATTTTTTACCCAGCCCAGGTCCAAACTACTTCCACTAACACTGCCACTACCACATAGACCCAAACACAGCTGTATAGACAATGTGTTGGTGAAGACTGTGCTGGCGATGATGAAGTGAAACAGAAACCCTTACATCTGCTACGAAAGGCTCACTTGTTGACATCTCACTTTTACTTGAGAAATGGAGCAATACAAAATAAACTCTGGGGGTAAGTTTAGAGTTCAGTCCAGTGTGCAGGGATTTAGAAATGAAACTATTAAGCTAAAAGCAACGTTGGCAGTACCAGAGATAAATGGTCGAAGCAATGTCCGCCGAACTCCACCAAAACAACACATTTTTGGATTTTGTTTTGGGAAAATGCATTGGATTATTGGGCAAAACATTAAAATCTACTAAGTCTATTAAGCCTTCACAATGATTCTACATGTGTCTGTCTATTGCGGTCACATGAGCAAAATCGACTCCTTTTTAGACTTTTCTAATCTTCTCTATCCCCACCTTTCTCTCTCTGCCTTCAGCCTCTGGACTACGAGACGAAGAAGGCCTACACGTTCAAAGTGGATGCCACGAACGCTCACTTGGACCCACGTTTCCAGAGCCACGGTGCGTTCAAGGACACAGCCACGGTCAAGATAAATGTGCTGGACGTGGACGAGCCGCCCGTGTTCAACAAGCACCAGTATGTGATGGATGTGTACGAGGACACGCCCGCGGGAACCATCATCGGAGCAGTCACGGCGCAGGACCTGGACGCCAGCAGCAGCCCAGTCAGGTACTACACTGCGACTGTGGGAGTGAAGATTTTTGTTACTGTCGATGCAGTTCAAACAGACAGAAGGTTATTAGATTATATGTATTTGTTGGCAGGTGTCTGTCGCTACATACATTAGCACAAATGACTCTCGCTTATATCATTTGCAAGAATGACATTTATTGCATGCTGTAAATGACATTTGGTTACGATTTGACACTTAGACCTTGGCACAGCACTGCCTGACAAATGCAGAAGGGGAAATGGAAATGGATATTATGAGATTAAAGCTGCATAACCTTACTTTATTTTTGTATTCATTACAAAAATTCAATCCATATCCATGCAATGCATCGGGATATACGTCCTTTTGAAGAAAAAGTACCGCAGATTTGTGCTGGCGTGTCGAGTTTTTGTGCAGCAAGGTAGATAATGTGTTTCGGGTCCAGATTGTGACCAATCACAGCGGACCACTGGCTCCCACTTTCTTGAGAAAAGCCACTGGTCTCTCGTTAGCACAGACAGCTGAGGTAAACAAGCTGCTTAGGCCGGTCTTCGTTACCGGTTACTGCTTACACAGCGAAACAGACAAAAGAAAGTCTTGTTCCTCCGCGCTTCCCGGTTCTGTCATTCTATGGTGACGCCACGTTAAAATGTGCGATCCATATTGTGAGACATGAGCTCTGTAAACACATGAGCACAGGCTGAGTGGGGGGTTAGTGGGGGGTGATATCTCTGTGAGTGCGGGTCAGTTAGTGCAGCTTTAAATTCCCCCCATTCAAAGAAGTGTTAAAGAGCTGATCTGACTGACAGTGGCAGTGCTGGGGAGGAGGAGGGTTGCTGCACGAATTGAAGCTTTCCACACAATATGAAAGCTCGATGACGGAGGCTAAATATCAACGCATGTGAAATAAGCTAAGCGGTGTAGGGCTAATATGTATGGTGGGAGATTACCAGGATTTCCAAGTTCCATAGTGGGTGTGTGCGTCTGCGCGTGTGCAAGTGTGTGTGTTTGTGTGTGATGGGGATCTTTCCATCTGCTCCAGTACAAGGTTAGTTTGCCGTCATGTTGTATATGTCGTAAATAATATTCTAATGTAAAGCGAGTGTCCAAAAGGTGCTTTTTATAATTAATGTTTTATTATTGTCCATGGGAGAACAACATGACCGACTACAGAACTAGAAACACTGTTAGATGGAAGCAGGTATGTATTGAAGTCCACAAAGGGCTTATGTTATCCTGTGTCACAGCCACGTCTGTCTAATGAATGTGCATGCTAATGAGCTCAGGGTACGACTGAGCTGTGTAATCCTACTCATGCAACTACCAGACAGAATATGAATCATGCAAAACAAGGCGCGCAAAGTAACGTCATCATTGTGAGCTTGTAAAGTTTAATGTCACCGCATGAAAGTTAATGCCTTCAAGCCCTCAGCCCACAATAATGAACTAATTAATGTTCTGTGGACAAAGTCAAAGTTGGATGGATGCTTCAGATCGAGAGGTGTCAGGTGTAAACACAGCCGCTATGGAGGGAGTTTGTGAAATAAATACAAATACTATCTTTTTATGTCATGAAAATAGTTTGTTCTGACGTTGTGTGCCCTCACATGAGCCTGGTGGGGGTGTACCCGGAAAGAGAATTACCCAATGCTTTTGTATGGCGTCGTCTTTCCTTTCTAAAAAGTCTTTACGAGATGGTCCAAAAGAGGCTGAGTTTTTTGTTGTTGTACCAGTCTAGTTCAGTCGCTGTGGACTGTTGAATGCAGTCGTTAAATGAATGGGGCTCGTGCAGCTGACACGTGCGCAAATGAGTTTATTCACTTTTTTCTGCCCCACGTCCATTTTGTAAAAGCCCACAGTAGGCAAAAGTGGTGGCACATTAGTTTCAACGGCGGAGATAGGCGTCTGTTAATATTTACAGTCTATGGTCCCAACAGAAAGAGTTTTGTATAATTATTTATTTAATAATTATTTATAATTAATTTTGTACAATAATGTGTAGAGCGCTTTCCCTTCACAAGGCAACACAAAGCGCCTCACAGACCCACATCATGTCACGCACAAACCATATACAGTACATTAAAATCTACATACACAAGATAAAAAAAACAATCATATCTCAAGAAATAGTAAAAGCAAAGAGAACAAAATCACACAAGTAATTACAAATCTTAAAACATTAAAATCACACATGGAATTAAAAATCATAAGTAGTCACAGTGCATTAAAGAGAGTAAAGTCAACTGTTTGCACCTGGATTAACGTAATCTCATTTGTGACTCAGTATTTGACATTTTGGGTTTAGAGCCAAGTGAGGGTCCTCTCTGTTTTCACTTTTCTGTCGAGAAAAGCTACAAAAAGCTGCATGTGAAAACTAGTGATAGAGCCAAACTGTTTTGTCCTTTGAAAGTTAGGTAATCCAGCTTTAAAGTAGACGCTCAGTAGGACGCCATGCTAGATCAACATTGGTAAACTACACACATACATGCAGAAATACAATACTGCAAACATAATACAGATTAACAAGCAAACATCTAAAACTCTACTGAATGTGAAAGGTACAAATCTCTACTGTGTGTCGTTACTATCACCGGCAAAGGCAATTTCTTTCACAAATGTAGGATTAATTCTCAAGAAACGATATACATAGCCTCTGCCAAGTACATTATCATCATGATGGCCGTCGATATGGGCTGAAAACTTGGGGAAAAACCCATCTTGAAACTCTACTTGAGCTTGTGCTTTCCAGACAAGTGACTTTGCGACGCTCCGGTCTCTGCAGATTTGGTTCAGAGAAAGAGGCAGAGACACAGAGCTGCAGAAGCCCAGGATTAAACCACTGCAGTCTCCGTCCAAGTCTGGAAAAGAAGCTCCTTATCCGTCGCCCTGAGGCTCCCACTGTGGTCGGACTCATGAATATTCACGCCGTTGCCCCTCACTTGTGTTAAAACTATATAATCCTTGGATAACCCATTAGCATCATTAACCCGTATTATGTAAACCACATCGGGCTGTACAATCACAGAGGTCTTCGGGCGAGTTCTCCTTTTGACCAAGTCGTAGTTAATTAGGCATAAGCTCTGTGAAGTAAAAAAAAGAAAATGGATTTAATTAAGTATGTAAGTAATCTTATGTGTATAGTGAGATGGGAGCGGGGTTGCCATACATCTTGTACATGCTTTTAGTGGTAGAGGAAACCGTAGCACCTGGAGGAAACCTACGCAGGCACGGGGAGAACATGCAAACTTCACACTGAAGGGCCTGTAGGTGTAATCAAGCCCACAAGCGCTAACCACTGCCCCACCGTGCCGCGGCAGATATACAGTATTTCTGCAGAAACGATTAGAGAAGATATTATTTAAGTGCTTTTCCTTTATTTAAATATTTAATTTTGTTTCATTTTTACTGTTATTCATAAAGTATTCATCAAGAAAACAGAGGACAACAACCGTGGGGAATTAAAATATGACTACATCTAAATACAATCAAATCAACTGAGCAATAAGTTGTAGTTGTAATCAAGCATTTTGATTATTTTGAATCCACTAACAGGTTGTTTAAACAGTGTGTACAGATATAAAAACAGGGTTATTATTAATGTAGTTCATGAATATTATAGTTACATTTATGAATATCAATGTTATGTTACAGTAAATGTATCTTTGAGTTTAATATATGTATCTTTTTTGTCTTATAAAACATTAAAACACAATATTTTCCTTATTTAATTTGTAAATATGTGTGAGAAAACCTGGTCTAAAGAGGCTCTCATCTACATGCATGTGAAAACTAGAGATAGAACCAAGCTGTTTTGTGGGATAGGGGCTGGATAGGGATGGATTGCATTCCATACACTGCAAAAAAGTGTTTCTACATCATTTGCGCACAAAAACAATGTTATTTCAGGAACTGTTGCTGCATTTCTCTAGCCTGGCTCCAGCCGACCTTTAGCCCCGCCTCCATGGAGTTTCTGCGGGCAGGTCGGTCTGGCATTCCTCAATGGAAAAAGTATTATGCCCGGTACGATACATACCGGGCCAGTCAGAGTGACAGGGCGGGCTTCATGTGATGGTTGACAGGTGAGCAACAGTAACGTCAGCATCTACGTCATCAAAGAGCGCCAGGGCAGAATACGTTCAAAACAAACATGCATTGCGCTAGGGAGGTGAGATGTGTGGATTCTGCTATTGATTCTGTTTTACAAGACATGAACAGAGAATTCATCTTGAAATATGAACAGACAAACGCTATCAAGGCATTTGTGAGTGGAAAAGATGTCCTAGCCGTTGAAGTCAATAATTCCCTTTGACTGACGTATCCAAAGTCGATGCAAGAGCGAGACAAGAGATCTTCACGTTTAACATCTGCATTTAATTATCTTTACAATCAGATACAGAATGTTCAACAAAAAGTGCTCCTAAAACTATATATGTCCCTCTCTCCTGGCCCTCGGCTGACTGACTGCCAATCTCCTCCCAGCAGTTTCTATCAAAGGGTCCGATGACGTCACAGTCTGGGACTGGTCTGGCCCCTGGTCTGGACCCGGTCTTGGTCTTCCCTCTCCACCTGAGCAAACAATGCCCCCCACCACTGGGCGCCTGATTGTGTTGGACTTTTGCCCTCGTCCAGAGTGGGAGAGAGCATTTGTTTATTCCTGGAGTTAATAATTTGTCCCGTTTTGAAAGCTGGTCATCTCTATGATTCCTGAGTGCATATTCCTTTGTCCTTGGGGCTTTTCCCCGTGCACCTTCTTCAGAGGGCCTATTTTCAAAATCATTAGTATACAACATTTTAATTATGCAACAGTTTCCCTCTTTTGACCTGATTAAAAATCAGGTCACAATCCACATCGTCGTTTATCATCAATACTTGTGCTTAGTTCAGGCTTGATATCTGTGAAGAGTTAATACAGAAAGAATACAACACAAAACCACATTCGAAACATTCCTTCACAAAACTCTTTGATGACCACCGCTGTGTCATTCTGATTCTTCATCATTAATCAAATTTGTATTATCGTTACAGGAGCTAATCTATTTTAGCAGGTTTCTCTGGGGTTAGTCCCTATACAACGGTATTTTGATTCTCTAATCTGTTGCTGACAAATCGACAGCTCTTAAAATTCTCAAAACTACCTAAAGATCTACTTTTGTGCTATACCCAAATTCACCAAAATGCTTTTAAATGTTTTTGAATCTCTGTTGGTTCTAATCTATCTCATTAATCTAAGCTACATTAATCTAGGCTACACTCATGAACTTTATCTACTTTTGAAGTAACTACTTTTGGACATAATATGAAGGAAATGGTCTTTTTACCGTTTGATATTAACCCTGTCTAAAAATAATCTCTATCTTTTTTTTTTTTTGAAAGCATCTATCTATTTTACACTCTATTGTGACTCCAAATCTTGGTTGTAGTTTGAGCCAAAGCATATTCCCAATTTTTGAGTTCTGATTGTAACAATTGCATTGGCAATAGATGATTTTTCATTGGCTGGTTCTTGTTCTGCAAATCACTATTCTATGTATTGTATTTCAGACAATTCCAAAAACAACACAGTCGTTCTCCAATATTAAAGACATACATCTAAATCAAGTTGCCTGAAAGGGATTTTAACTATTTTAAAACGTTCTCTACGATTATAAGGCTATGCATTTAATTATTTAATAAACAAAAGCACATTCATGGCTTCTGTCCGCTGCTTATAACTGTTTAAAGAGTTGTCCCAAACTTAATATGTGTAAATACATCAGCTGTTTGTAATAAACAATAACATTTAACCTGTTCTCCAATGGAGCAGCTCAGAGGCTGCGTCAAGAGCAATGTTATATTTGAGCTATTTTTAGATTTAAAATTGTGTTAAAGCCTGTCGTTCTGTGTCTGCATTTTAATACTACTCTCTATAAACACATCTGCACTAGTTCCTACAGATGTGGAAAACAGAAACATCTAAAATCTGACTCCATTTGATTCCTTTTTACTTTAGTTATTAGAACAATTTGACCTTATTGATACTTATTTCCACAATAGAACTATTTTGATTATTCACTAGTCTAACTATTATTACTATTGTTTATTCTGACACCTCTTCCTAGCGACCTTTCAACCTATAGCTCCTTGAATCCAATGACATTATAGCTCCAGACTATTTCATTCTATTCTATTATTATCTTATTATTATATGATCTATTATCTTAAAGAGTAGATCTGTTTGATGTTATAAGCGCTATTATTTCTCCTTTTGAATTTGCACAACACTAAATTTAGAATGACCCCCTATGGGACAAATATAGAACTTTATTTCATTTTGGCAACTCCGAAAATTACTTAATAATTTTCCCATTTTGCTTTTTTAGGCTGCCCTTTCTATTATTTATTTGTTCTTGTAAATATATGTTTTACACTTCTTTCTAATGATTTAGAAGGTTAAGGACCATGACCACCTATGACAATACAATACTCCCCTCTGTTGGTCGTGGTCCAAAGTATAAAACATGCATCTGTATGTGTGTAGATTACTGTTCCAATCCTGTTGTTCCTCCCGGATCGTCCTCAATTCATATTGTGGGCTTTGGTGCCAAAGTAGAGGCTCATTTCCTTATGATCCATACTACTGTGTTATCCCTGAAGCAGGTGCAGTTTATCTTTCATCTGAAAAAGAAACATTAGAACACAAGAAACGCCCACTTCCCTCTCTTCGCATGGTGCAGCCTGTCAATCAATCTAATTGGGCAAAACATAACTGCATTGACAGACGGTGTGTGGCATCAGGGCAGAGGCTGTAGCCAAATACAGACTTAACAATATGTATGTTTCTAATTTTATACTCCCCTAAATGTGAATTACAAACCAAAGTTGTCCTCCGCCCAATGACCGCTCACTGCGGTTGGACCGAATCCCTGTCCGGACAAACAGCAGAGGGAGGGGCTCCCAGTACCTTCAGCAAGGTATTCATCTCAGAGTACTTTCTCAGAGTACTTTTCTCAGAGTACTCATCCCAGAGTACTCTCACTTTTACACCTGTTCAATAAAGCTTGTCATCTTTGAATCTCTAGTACTTACACCGTATGCTGTTGACAAAAAATAATTATTCCATGATCACATTAAAACATTACAGAAAACTTTTGTTATTCCATTCTCCGTTCAGCACTCCTCGTCCACTCCTCATTTCACATCACACTCACATCCCACTCACACAGGCCGACGTTAGTATTGGTCCAGTTTGTTAAGGTCAACGTAGTGTATTGGACATGACGCACAAACATATAACATACACAAACATATAGACAACACAGGAGGCCTGTAATTTTAACTTTGTTATATTTTTCCATGTCCAATTACAATTGTCTCATGAGCTATTTTATAGTTGCAACTTTCAGAGCCTGCAGAACATGCAAAGCTTTGAGAGATTTTTCCTAAAAGGATCCATTTCAAACTTTAGTGTTTAAACCACGTGGTCTTTACTCGGGCTTGTCACTAACTGTGTCCCCTATATTTTTAATGAGCTCTTGTTACTTAAAAAAAAACTCATGCACGTGCAATAAATGTTTTTCCCTTTTTTTTTTTAAAGCCAGTTTGGATTCCTTAAAAATGTAAATTAGTTTCAAACTTTAATACTTCACCCTTGTTTCACGTTCATATGGAGAAAAGACCATTGTTTTATGTGTGTGTACTTGCGCCAATCATGTCTCAGATAAACTGCCAACAGTTATATCAAAGACATAATTGTCCTAATTGTTTCTAATTTAGCTATTTGGAAGAGAAACATGTCATAAAAGATTTCATAAAATGTCCCTACATCTTTGTTTTCAACCAATGAACAGTGTTGCGTCTATGTGTTATCAGAAATGATCCAATATCACCTTTAGCCAAAATTCAGAAATGCTTTAAATCATTTTTCAAACTTTAATTGTCTGAACAAACCATTTTGTACTAAATGCAACGT